TGGTTTTTCGGGGAATCACATTAGCCCCCTAGTGGAATTGAACCTGTAGCTTGTGATACAGACCTATGGTGCTCTAATCACTGAGCTATGGACCCATAGGTCATTTCAATAATTATTTAAAGAAATTAAATAAAAATTTGTTTATATACAGTATATTTGAAAATATAAAGAACAAGTTTAATTAATAACTATTTATATAATATTTTATTAAAATTTTATTAAAATTTTATTTAAAAAAATTGGTAATAAAAAATTAATAAAATTATTTTGTACCATAAAATTATTTAATTAAGATAAATAAATTTTATAACAATTGATAATAAAAATTAAAAAAAATATATATTCAAAATTTAAATTATTTAAATAAGAATTTGTTTATTTATAACAAAAATAATTTGTTCAAAAAATATTATATATTATTATATATTAATATTGTTTACTTATTTATTAATTAAAATATTTTACATATACAATATATTTATAATATTTAAATTTTAAAAAAAGTAAATTAAAAGATCTATAAGTTTATAATATAGTAGTAATACTTTATAAGTCATTAAAAAAAAATCTAAAATTTGAACTCATTTGATTACAAAAATATATTATAAAAATTCTAATTAGATTGTATAAAAATGAAACTTCTAGTCTTTTTAATAATTGTGAAATTGTAATAGATTAAAAAAAAAATTGTATAAAAAAAAACTTCTAATTTAATTTTGATTAAACTCTATAATTATATTATACAAAACAATAATAATATATTTGATATTAAAAATTGTATTATATATTATTTTAATTAATTTTACTTGATTTTTTTCTTTTTAAATTTGTAATTAATTCTAATCAAATTTGATAAAAAAAACTTAAGAATATTTTGAATATAATTAAAAAAATATTTATTTTATTTAAAAAAAAAATAAATAAATTGAATTTAATTTTTTAATTTGATAATACATATAATAATGATTTTTATTTTTATATAATTAATAAAAAGTTTAATATTCTTTTAATTTTTCAAAAAATAATAAAGTTATTTAATTAATTAAAAATTTTTGAAATATTTAGAAAGGTATTAAATTTAATATTGATTTAATTAAAATTAACAATAAATATTAACTTTTTAAAATCTTATTTATAAATTAAAATATTTGATTTTTGTATTTTCTTTTATAAAAATATACTATATATACTAAAACTTGTCTTGAAATATTAAAAGTATTTAAAAATTGAATAAAATTTATAATTTTTTTTAATATTAAAACTTGAAATTTGTTTTTTTTTAAAGAATTTTCTAATTAAAAAATTGAAAATAAATGAATAAAAAAAGTTTTTTATTTTAGATTTACATGTTTAAATTTCTATACTATAGTAATAAAATTTTTTATTAAAATATAATTAATTATACTGTATTTTTTCAAAACCTAATGTTTTATATTATATCTTATAATATATTGATAAATAAATAAACAATATTTATTTATTTTTTTTAAAAAAATGATTGTTATTATATTTCTTAAAAGCAATAATAATTATATTCTTTAAAAACAATAATATTTATATTATACCGTATATTAAACATTATATGCAGTAGTTGTCTGATTTATTAAAAAATACAGTATAAATAAAATCAAAGCATTGATTATAAAAATCAGTAATAATTAAATCGCACGTTTCATGTTATCTAATTTATTAAAAAATTCTAATAAGTAACGACATAATTACTTGGTGTTTCTTGGTATATTATCTACTGTCTATACATACACGTATTACGTGTATTGTATTTACATTTATATTATTTACTGGATAATTATATTATTGATTTTATGATTATCAAAATTAATAAAGTAACAATTATTCTATGGGAATAAATATTGTGAACCAAGGTGTTTACATATTTCGAATATAATAACGATTTATTGGTTTATTATAATAAAGGAAAAAAAAGTTGCAATGTTTATTTCGTTTCCGGATCTGGATCATTTGTTCAAATCTTGAAAATAATTTACATTTTTGTGCATCCTTTTTTCTAGTGAATAACGTTATCAAAATACTTATAAAATAGAGAAGACAATAAATAAATGCTCTTTTAACACTCTTCATAAACAACCAAAGCATTTTTTTCTCATTAAGCTGAGGTTAGTCTAGTCGCTAGGATTGGAGCAGGATTATTGAACGTATCAACAATTTCCATTCGTGTCTCGTGGCATCCGTACGCCGACGGGATTATTTCGATTAAATAATTTCGTGGGATAACAATTCTAGGTATCTCCTATTGTAAGATGATAAGGTGTTATAATAACATAACGGAGAATCTTTCATTATGCAACACACGCATCACAACGAATGAACCTACATCTTCGGGACGATCGAACAAATATGCGTACAAACATTTCAACACCGTCTCGTGCGCAATGATTAGTACATCATTTTTTTCATGTTCAAGTTCCAGGATTGTGGATTCAAGACGAACAGCTAGATCCTGATACGACTTTATAGCAAAATAATTGGTGGTGTTGAGCGCAAAAAAGAATGAGAGATGTTAAAATGATTTTATGATCCTCAAATACCTCTGCCATGGGATATCGATGATGGTACATGTCTTTTTGCTGCAGTTCGTATTCCTCGGGAAATTTTTCCTGATTGTTGCCACGAATGGATTAATATTAGTATTCCTTCAAAACTGAACAAACGAGATAGCCATGTGGCATCACCTTAATCTCTTCGACTGTCAGCCCATCCACCTCACCAAGATTAAGTTCGGCCATTAGCGCTCGGTTTATAACAGTATAACCTTCTTCGAAAGGTTTCGCGGTTTGAACGGAACTTTGTCTGGCGGATGTCCATATCTTCGTGAATAAAAAGAAAAAAGAGGAGCATCAGCTAGAGAAACCAATTGAAGACTTTATTGGCACTCATAATACAAACGAACCGTCAAGGTTCTTTCATCATCACCCCACCCTTGTTCCTTTCGCTCTTTCTTCTCTCTCTCTCTCAAGGACAACAGGAAATTCTTTAATTTGCGTGCATACTCCACACCAGCCGGACATAGATCCGCATCGGTCTTGAGTGATATTTCATTATTCGACTCACCTGCCTGTTCAACCAAAAGAACACCATCAGAATAAAAGAACAATATTGAATTTCGCGATGGTAACATCTACTGTACCCGTGCAAAGTATATGATTCGAGGACTAATATGCAAATTTATCAGGTAGAACACAATGCGAGACTGAGGCAAAGGTTTTGAAGAGATGTTGATCAAAAAAACGAATTCATATGTTGCCTTAAGGACGCGCTATTCACGATTACCTGCAGATACCCTTTCACATTATTTACAATAATGCGATCCCCGACGTTAATCATTTTTACAAAGCTTAATGACAGATCGGTTATTGTTTGATAGAAACCAAGGTGATTATTGATGCGTGCCTGATAGTTCCGCATCAACGGTTGGAGAGATGCAAATAATTGGTTTGAGGAAACATACGAACACCACATGAATGTCAAACGTAAAAAGGAAATTTTAAATCACCCAATAATCTTTAACGGCTTCTTCGGGATCCCAACCAATATACTGTAAGAAAAACGAATAGGTAATCTTTTAATTTTTTTCATATCGAAATGGTGGACAATTTTGTGCAAAGAAAGCGATTTCACAATTGTTTCATACATCCGGCGAAGTTATCTTTACGCTTCGAATGTTGTTTTCGATGATTGTTGGCTTGTCGCAGATCGACTCTGGTCATAGAAAGAATTGTCAACATTGTCCATAAAAGACCATGGCGCAATACAAAGAATTGGTGAAGCTGACAATTACCAATAAAAACAGGCTAATGCACAGCACATCGTATTTCGCCGAAGAAAAAATAAGGAGTCAAAGAATTCAATATAATTATTTGATCAGGGCATCATTGTTTATTCTACTCACCTGAATGTCGTGAGAAATCAACGTATCATGTACTTCCTTACGTCTTTCTTCAGTCGTATTGCTGGCATCAAAAATTCCGACCTGACCTTCTTCTTTTAACCACTCGATCATTTCATTTAAACATTCAACTGCAATATTGTGACGTACTTGGGCACTTTCCCGGTTTTCTATTTTTTTTTTTGGTAAAGTGCTTAGGAAATCCACAATTCTACGATAAAAACCAACAGATCAAGTCGATCAGGTATTCACCAAGACTAAAGAAACCAGGTGGCAAATTTGCAGCCGTGCCCAACACTTGACGACGATGGTTTCCTAAGCTAAATACTTTGGTGGATACACCTAACCAACGAAGGTATCGACACAAAGAATGAGAGACATGTGTTTTTCCTCTTGCAGGTAATCTTTTTTCATTCGATAACGTGCGAATATGATTAAAAAGATTTCAGCCAGGAACAAACATTTAAAATTTCGAACATGTTTACCCTACTGTGATTATGGCAATTCGCCCTGCATGAAATAAATGACCGGAAGATGTCTTATAGAGTTGAGCAGCCATGTTCGTTTTTTACAAATGTATCGGGTATGTACGGTCACGACAAAAAGGGTAGCACTCATCCGATTTACATGTGTAACAATTCTTTACACAAATAGGTTAACAATACTTTTTTTTCAGATGATTAAGATGCAATTGCAATTGACATTGATGACTCAAAAGGATAAAATTCAAAAATTGTCATCGTATATGTCATCCTGATTATTTTCTTTTAATTTTGCATTAACGATTTCGTGCGTTCCCCTTGCTTGTTGCCTTTTACCCGATTCTTCGATTTCCTCGTTCCCAATAATCGTTCCGATTTTTTCCTACATTATTATCGAGGAAATGCCAACTCATCGGACTAATTGAACTAGATAATATATTAAGTAAGGAGACAGAAAAAAAAAAAACCTTTATAAATCCGACGGTCGTATCCTTGTTTCCATGAATACTTGATGGGTTTTCGTATCTTTTCACGACCTCTTCATTAGGCTTGGCGCGAGATTCATGTGAGGAAACTTCACCTGGAGAATTTTTCGGATGTTAACTTTTTTCAACAAGAGAGAAATAAACTTGGTTTTCATTCAAAATTGATCTATATGTAACACCTCGTTCCTTCTCCACGATGCCAACAGACTCTAATGCAGACGTGACCAGACCACCAAATTGGGATAATCGAGATCCATCTTCGTTGCTTTTCTCATTTGAGATTGCATTATCAGATTTCCTGTCCATGTTGGATCCGAAAAGAATATATATAATGTTTTAATAAAGAAATGAAAAAAAAAAGAACGTTTTTTCACTTTATATGTGACTTAATTCGGAATTTAAACTTGTTGATTTATAATATATAAGCAAGCAAATTACCACTACATTTTACAAAATTTACGTCACCAAAGATGTTTTTTCATGACATATTTTTTACATGTTCAATACAAATTTTTAATTATTCTAGAAAGAAGGGTGTTAATTATTCTTTATCGAAGAAATTATTTAAAAGATCTCTCAAGTTTGACAACACATTCCTTATCTCAGGAGTAATCGCCATCTGATGACCTTCTCGAATAAAGTTCCGCACTAAACATGCTCCGTTCAAACAATCTTGCTCTTGCATCACCGAGTTTTTACCTTTGTCAACCTTACATGACGTCAAATATAAAATTCTTGAGAGGGACGTCAGCTCGTCGTTAAGTAGATCTTTCATTGGTAGTAATCTATTCCGCTCGTCAACTTCACCATTATCGTTAAACTTCCAGAAATCTGATTCCTAATATGAAAAGATGAATCAGAGTAATGTAATTAATTTAATTTGGAAATTAGAATATACACACAGTCACAGGTTCATTGTCAAAATGGGAGGGCGAATGGTTTGTAAATCTTTTTATCGACTCGTGTCTTTCGGATACAACAAGTTGAATTATTTCGAGATTTGCCTAAGCAAAATAAGAAAAATAATGAGATACACCCTTTGAAACCAATAAATATCTCGAACCCCGAGAACTATGACAAACAATAAGCGCGGTTGCTTCGTGATTTTTTAGCCAGTCAGCACTTTGTAATGACTCCTCGAAAATGCTGATCAAACTTTGCTACGTGATGAAAATATGGAATCGAATCAGTCAGTCAATCAATCAGAAAATTTCATCGGAGCAAAAACGTGAAATAACACCTTGTCACTTGATTGGAGTAATGTATCAGCATAATCGGCAATGAAATTGTATACACCAAAGAAACATATAAATCTTTTCAAATGCGGTGAAGAGATCCAAAGGTCCGTCGTTCTGAGAATCTTTATTCATAAGAAAGAAATTTTTTCGTACGAAAATTCATTAAGTGTTGTAAATGAAGTCTCAAACGAATTTGAATATATTGCAAACCTCTCGTGCTTCCTCAATAGATAGTGATCGTGTGTTTGTCAAAAGGCAGAAAACACTTTCGACCGTCGTGAAAATCTTTTGAGAAGGTTATTAAGTCATTATTGTTGATTGCAAAAAATATATATATATATATGGACGGTTTGCAATTTACCTTTCTAAATTCCGGCGAAGAAGGCTGCAAGTCATTCAGAGAATATATGCAATTCTTTAAAAATTCCAATATCATATGTACAAGGTTGAAAGGATTGAGTTGAATGTCGTTGCATGTTAAAAGGATATTTTTTACATGCAAGATGACAAAGTGCTGAAATCGATAATGATCTTAAATAAGTTTGAGCAAAGAAATTTCCATAAAAATAGAGAATCAGCGCTTACAAGTGCAAATAATCCGTCGGCTGACAAATTTCGAACATTTTGAACGTAAAAGTTGATCCATGAACATATTTGCGCGTACCCAGACATCTTTTCCCGAACACGTTTATGAGTATGTTATATAATCGTTATTTTTCAATATATACTGTACGCAATCTTATCGAACCTTTATCTGAACTTCAGTTACACCGCTAACGAGAGCTGCCTCTCCCCCGTCGGGCAAGGGGAAAAGAAATTGTTCGGACGCTTTGGCCTGTAATCCAATTTTGATTTGTTCTCTTTCTGGATAAAAATGTATCATTAAAGTGTAAGATGTTACTCACCACTTGCTCGGAATCGAGAAATTGGATCAGGCGTTTTGAAAGCCTTTGCAATCGATATCGTACTGAAGGCGTATTGGGAAGTTTGGAAATCTGCAAAAAACAAAAAAAAAATTATTTTCGCTCAACTTTAAATAAGTATGTGCACGCATTAATATAACGCGTTCGACTCACAATTTCCAATATTAATTGAACTTGATGATATAATTCGCGGTTCGCCAGTGATTTTCCAATGCAGCACCAGACATCAATGATTAAGGCACAGGTTGTGGTACTCCGAGAGATCAACAAGAATTCTAACATGTGGTATTCGCACAGCGTAAACAGTAACGGCGATAACATGTTTACGAATGTACAAAATGTAATCACCACATGCATGTAGAAGGAATCTTCTAAAGGTGGTAGATCAGAATCGACAATTTGCGGTGCAACAAAGTTTTCTGCATTGGGCGTGTCTATCGAGGTGAAAAGAAAGCACTCTGGGTAATCGTCTAATGTATCGAAAAAGAGTCTCAGCAGGCAAAAAGTTTGTGATTTTGTTGGATCCGAAAATAATTTCGAATGTAGCGAGATTGGTATGTCATCGAAATTGGCAAAAATCACTAATAAGAAATGAATCCTCGCAAACTTGAACTCGTCGATTTTTATATCTCCAAGCAGACTTGAATGATTCCGGTTCACGGAATCAAGATCACAGTTGAAAAAGTTGAATATCATCTTGCAGCGATAATCATCATTTGTGATGCTATCGTTAATAAACAACGCAAGGAAGACATTGTTGACAACGAGGAGCACACGACCTTGCAACAAATCACTAAAATATGTCGACATCCCACACATAGGTGACATTTTACTAAATAAACCAAAGACGTTTATCACCACATACAGTAATTCATTTGACATGCGCATCCACAATGGAAGAGCATAGGAATCGTTACACACCTCACGAGAAATGTTAAAGTAGTCCGTAAAGTCTGGATAATAATTGGATTTGCGTCCCATGCTATGACTTCTGCATGTGCTTTTGCGATACTCAACAAATGTGCAATGTAAAATCTTACAATTGTCAGCATCTTGTCGAACTGCTTGGCATCCGAAGGTGTCTGTTTAACGGACTTCTTGAACATAACAAATTTTATCAATCTTGCGTAATTTTCTGATACGCCGCGACAAAGGATAAGTATGATCGAATCCAGCTGGAGCACCAAACAAATAATTACCAGGCATATTCATGATCAATCTTAAAGCCGTACATGCTGTACAAGCGATAAAAAAATAAAAATAAAAAAAAGCCCCCGAGAATAACCTTTAATGTCCTTTTGAGCACGTCACTTTTGTGCTTGACCGATAACCTTACTAAATATTTCCACGTAAGTGTAAGGGCCGGATAATCTGTCGCACTCGCTTCGGCTATCGGTATGAGACCGTTGCAAACTTTAAGAGAATGCAGCTATGTTCAGAAGTCAACCCTTCGAACTTTCCAGAGCAGCAATTAACAACCTACCATCAGAAATTCCGAATGCAACCGTTTCGTCTAGGTCGAGTTTGTCACTGTCTAATACCATCAAATTTTCATCAATAAACTTCAAAAAGTCGCCCAAAACTTCATGAGCTCTTTTGCACCACGTGGAGATTAACTGGCGCAACTCGCAATTTTTGGAAAACCCATTGATTACTGCAGGAACCTGTTGAATATCAAAAGAAAATTGGATGGGTATCGAGTACTAATCTTTCGCACGTCTTTTACTGTTTCGGTAAAACTTCCGAACCTTGGTAGTCGTAAGCGCGCAATTACATGTCTTGAGAACACAAGAACAAACACTGGATCCGTGTTCCTTCTGCTTAACGAGGAATTCGATCAACAGAAAAGTGTCACCGCCGTCGCTTGTCAATTTGTTGCGTAATGTCTGCAGGGCATCTCCTAGCAAATGGAGACACGATACATGGATCTACGGATAGATTTGTCAAGATTACATATCCTTCATAAAAATAATTTCGTAACATAAGGGTCTGACGGTGGTTACTTGGATGATGGTCGATATGCCAGAAATATCATCAGCAATTTCACATAAAGTTGTTTCAATGTTTTCGGATATAGATTGTACCTAATTTTGAGGAGAACGATTAAACACATTCATTCATTTTATTTAACAAATTGTGATGCGTTCAAGACGCGTACTGCCTGGAGTCCTAACGCGAACAATTCCATTGATTTCATTATTTCTTGTCCCTTAAATCGCAATATCTCCCTGAAACAATCAACTGCCCGAGCTCTAACAAGTAACGGGCAGGACGCACGAATTGCACTGTATACGATGAAGGTTAAAGAAATAACTTTCAAAATGTTTGACAACATCAACGTGCTTATAGGATATGGTTAATAAAATTAGGGTTTGCGGAAGCAATGAATCATCGAAATTATTGTCAGTGATGATTTCTTCAATTTCCTGTATGATTTGAATTAAATCATCTTGTTGAAGCTCATTTGCTTGCAAGTGAGTTTCAAAGGTTTCCAACGCACGAGAAAGCATCTGAACTTTATGTTAAAGTTGGCGTGAAAATTTCAATGCAACACAGAAAGCCTTGTCTTTCTATATTTCGGTAAGATAGAAATTTTTTTGGAGGGTTTACTTTCTTTCGTGACGCGTCTTCTTTTAACGAATGACTAAACATGTGACCGAGTATAAATTTCATGGTTTGATTATTCAACGGAGAACGAATTCGGAAACTTTGGTTACATATATGCGACATCAAGGTATCATACATTTGCAGGGTGACACAGGAGATGAAAGTATATAAGGCAACGAATATCTCATCTTGTTCGCAGAAAATGTATGGATCGCCTATGCTTGCCAGTCGAATTTCCGTTGCATGCGGAAGATTTACCAAAACTTCTTTCATTAAAGCCACAGCCGGTAAATCAAGGAGCATCTCTCGTTATTTTTGTGACCAAATTCTAAAGATTTTATTTTTTTTTCATCATTATTAGGAAAAGCCAAAAATCTTGTAATAAAGGATCTTCACGACTTTTCACGCAGGTAGATTCTTTTTTTCTTTGTCCAATCTCATTTTCGAATTCGATATGAAGGCTGTTTGTCCTGTCCTGCCTGCCTGCCCAAATCTGTCCTAAAAGGAATAAACAGGATGAACAAATCGATTTCCTTTATGGCTTATCTGTGGTCATACCGGCGCTTGAACAGAGACGTCGCAAACTTTACCGTCTATTCTACCATGAAGTAATTGATTTTCGCAAAAAGTCTGGGTAACTATGCAAACGACTTCTCGTCCGATTGGGACTCCGACATTTTCTCGAAATTAATTTATCTACATTAGAAACTCCCTGGACAAGATCATTTCACTGGCAAATGAAGCCAAGGTGCCAGTCGTGAAGGCAACCAAATGGGAATTGAACGAATTGGTGGAAAACCGACCGCATCAGGTAAAAATCTTGATCGTGGGATGCATCAAGAAATCATCGCTCACCTCTTAATTTACAGGGAGTGGTCCTAAAAGCTTCGAGGATCACGCCATTAAACATTACATGCCTTGGTAAGCCTACCGACGAGAGGTACATAAATTAATCTTAATGTTCCTTGGTTGGATGAATGCAACTCATGAAATATTTGATCAAAGTTATCAACTCATCCAATCGAATGAATCGATAATCAATATCAGCATTTCATCAAGTGAAAAGTGGCCTCTCTGGCTTGCATTGGACCAAGTTGTTGACCCACAGGTCGGTTGACATTACGTTTTAAAAAAAAATAAGCGTGGAAGACGATTCTGATAATGTTTCCTTGATATTGGAGAACTTAGGTGCTATTGTGAGGCAAGTTAATTGCCATCCTCTTCATGGATATAGATTTGAGTCGTTATATTAACATTTTCCGTCTTTATTCATAGATCTGCATATTTCTACGGTGTTGATGGAATTGTCATTTGCACGAAGAACAGGTAAATTTCACTCAACGCGAGAACCTTCATTACTTTTTAATAAACAATTGGTTCAACACTCTTTTCTATTAACATTATTAACGCGGTTAAACAGCGCACCTTTATCAGCAGTGACGGCGAAAGCAAGTTCGGGCGCTCTTGAAATTATGG